GGGACACTCTTGGTGCCTTGTTACATTTGTGAAGGGGGTAGGTAGTGCTGGGAGGCGATGGGAGGTGGCCACTGGTGAGCATCACTTTGGACCAAAGACACCAAGGACTGCGTTTGCGTGAGGGCCTTCAACCCATTCTACCCTCCAAGGTGCATGTGATGTGTCGTATTGGCAAACAACATAGTATTTTAGCTGTGAATGCCAGCTTTCAGCCATGGTTTCTGTCCACTCTTTGGCTGTGCAACACGCAGCTACGTAGCTTTTCTTGGCAAGATGGGGCCTGGTGTGTGAAAAAGGCTGACTACAGAAGTCAGAAGGCATGAAAGACGTTCAGTCCTTTAGCATCCTTTAGACGCGCCGTTTTTGGAGCTTTGGGTATTCCATCTTCTTGGACAAGTCCAACTATATAATGCCTCACAGCAGAACATGTTCCATCCGCTTTTGTATGTAGGGAAGAGGACCGCGTCGCTCTAGCTGAAGAGCGTGCTGACCTCCTAAGTGCCTTGACTCAAATGTGTTGAAATGAAGGGTGTCAACTAAACAGGTGATTCTATGTACGCATATTATATGATATGAATTAATACAATTAATTTGTCATATTATATATTACATATATTATATATTATATATTATATATATTATATTCACACTATACTATAGACAACTTATATACACGTATACTATAGACAACTTATATACACGTATATATATATATATATTGTTTTTTGTTTAATCAGATTGACTTGTATACCCGCCCACTGATGCCGTATATTTGTATACATTTCAATACCAAAATCACCGCTAGAAATGGTCGGGGCGGCCCTCACTTTCGGTCCCAACAGAAATCCACCGGAAATATTTCAAAATCTGAAAAGTCGGGCAGTCGGGCCGTTTTCCTGATTGAGATGACATAAGCGGTAGTTGCCTACTGTAGCTCAAGAACTTTTTAATCTCAGCAGTTTTGTAGAAAAACTCACCGCTCTCCAAAACCATGCGCCGAGATCAGCTACAGCCGATCCTGGAGCTGCAATCGCGCTTGTGGCAGCTCCCTGAAGGACGACGCCCCGAGATCAGCTGGTCAGCTGGTGATTGCGCGCGCAACGATGGATATGGCCGAAGCGAAAAAAGACCGAGAAGAACAAAACAATTTTGCTCTGTGGCTCGCTTGTGTGCTATGGATGGCGCGCGCGCGCTCTGAAATACGCTCCAGAAAGGCGCGCTCACAGAGAGACAGAGAGAGAGAGAGAGAGAGAGACAGAAAGAAAGAAAGAAAGCAAGCAAGCAAGCAAGCAAGCAAGCAAGCAAGGAAGGAAGGAAGGAAGGAAGAAAGAAAGAAAGAAGTAAATAAAGAAAGAAAGACAGCAGGGCGAGCGCGCGCGCGCTTGTGTGCTATGGACGGGCGCGCTCACGCTCCAGAAAGGCGCGGTCAGAGCGCGCTGTGCAAAGAGAAAGACAGAGAAAGAAACACTTAGAGAGAGAGAGAGAGAGCAGGGCGAGCGCACGCGTGCTCGTGTGCTATGGACGGCTTACTGGGCTCTTGTCCTCCTCTTGTGCTCTGTGCTGGGCTCTGTGGCTGGGCCTTGTCCTCCTCTTGTCCTTGTCTTGGCCGCGCCCCTGAGCTCTGTGGCTGGTCTCTGTGGCCCGGCTTACTGGAGAGGAGTGTGGCCGAACAATTAGCGATGTCAATGCCGACAAAAATTCATTGATGAAGCAGTTTGCTCTTGGGGTGAAAGTAGGGCGTACCAAAAAATCGATTTTTGACTGATATTGGTCTAAGCGAATCGTTTTGAAGCTATGTGGGGTCTATGCTTGTATAATTCTGCCATAGAAAGCGAAGACCGAAGGACAGCCGGACCTTGAACAAGTCTCAAACATCCACATGTTCGCGACAAGTCTAACGTGCGACGGCCGTTTCGGCAGTGTTGAACAGGAGTTGTGTCGGTGCACATTCGCCGCAGCGACCATCAGAAGGCCCCAGAGTAAGACAAGAGGGTCAGTCGGTTTTGAGTTTGAGAGTAAGAGTCATTTGTCACGTCCCCGTGACAACGTGAGACCCCTCAGTCGGGGACTTCTTTAGAGCCACATGTTCATAAGTAAAAGAGGTGACTCAAGGGTGTCACAGGATGGCTTTGTGATCAATTCCACCAACACGGCTCCATGACACCGACTGGCCAGACACAGGCGATTGCTCGATCCCCTGAGGACGGGGAAAGTGCGCCACGAGATGGTTCTCTCGAGTTGGAAAGCGGAGTGTAAGGCGTAAGCCAATGAGCATCAACATGTTCACCACATGAGAACATGAGGTACCAAAATAAAGGAGATCGCCCCTCGTAAATTTCACGAAGCAAAATCTTCTTAGGCACACCAAACTCCAGACACCGCACTTTTGCAGACATCAGCAAAGACGGACTTTGTCAAGTTCAGTTGATCTTGATGCAGGTGGTTGCATTCACTATGACCACTCAAGGCTTTCACACCGCAGCTGGATGAATCACCTAGCTCTTTTTGGACCTTCACTGTGACGGAATTTTGCATCCAGACATATTGAATCTAAGGTAGAAAGGCAAAAACATGCAAAAACCATTCGCGGTAGAAAAGAGCGACAACCAGCGATAGTTGCGTGGCATCACCATATGCCATGCAAGCAATACAAACGCATGCTGTGATGCTGTGCTTGTACTGAGCTGTGGGGGGTAGATGTAAGTTCTCACAACCTACGCACCATGAACTTTCCACTTTACAGGCATGTACGCCCAACAAGGTTAGGGTACAAACCCGTTCTGACCAGGGAAGCAATATGAAGCGCCAGAAGCGCAGTGACGTCGCATCCAGGTCTTGCTCTAGCATGCTGCAGCAGCCAAACCCGTCCATTGTTTGTTTATTTTTGTCAGCGGACAGGAGCTGTTCCTGCGCACAATGGAGAGCTATGGAGAGGCGGTGAATGCAGCTAGAGAAACAGATCCATTGAATGAGTGTTGTTTCAGAATGAACACTGCAGACCAGGATGTGATGTTCTTCTTGGCGACGGATGATCCCAATGTGGAAGAGCGGATGAAGTCTTGTGGGGGCCCTGATGTGGCGGACGAGGGTGATGTTCCAATCAATCAATGGTTGCTGTTTCAAACCTGATGAAAACCGATCGCTGCGAAACCTGAGATTTTGGGCCTCGGCTTTTGACTTCATCAAAACGGACTCTCAACCGAAACTGCGCCGCTGGAGCCGCAGCGAATTGAAGGGGAAGGTGGTGAAAAAAGATGCTTAAGCCCCACACGAATTGATGCAATGAGTATTTTTGCATTTGCTACCTTCCGTCAGTTGATATTGTGCTCGCGCTCGCAGTGCTGACAAAAACAAGCCTGCAGAATTCCAGTATTTCCTTGCCCTTGCTAGGAAGCCAACTAGCAAATGATTTGCTCATACAGCATACAGATACACGATGCCAGTGGGTGACTGTTGCAACTGCAAGTGTTGAAAGGCAGAACATTGAAAAATGCTTCAGCTGACGGTGCCCCTCCCCGCTTTGGAAGCCTTGTCACCTCCGGGCTTTTTCGCAGGAATTCAAGATGCTTTGATCGATCTGCTTCTCCTGTCACAGGGAGCTGAGGCGGACGATGCTCAAACACGATGCTCATGTACCTTGGTCGTTTTGCTGCATCCATCCAAAGCTTGAGGTAGTTCCCTGATGTTCCCCCTGTAAAGCTATTTCAGTTGTCAAGCAGGAGCTACTGCAACTGGTGTGCACCTTCCAAATAATGATGGCATCTATTCATGTGCAGGTGCTCGGTTCTTTCAAGAGCTCCTTCTCAGCAATGGCCTCCCATTTCCGCATGGTTCCGTGGTGCTGGCAGGTGTTGAAAAACTTCTTTTCTCCTCACCATGTCTTCAACCTTTCAACCTTTCTAGGTCACCATTCAACTTCAACTTCTTTTAATTATGTTTGGGCTCTTCGAGTTGCCAGGTTTCACGTGGTGGACATTTCTCCCGTGGACCGGAAGGCATGGGTTTCCAAACCGCAAAGCGGCTGGCGTCTGTGTCAGAGAGTTCCGCAGGCGCCTACCGCAGCTTTCCGAGAAGTTGCAGTGATTCCTGATGACCCAGAGGACTTTGTCATCAAAGATGTCACTGAGATTGTCAAGTTTCACGCATGAACCAGCAAACACACACACACCCAATCACACACACATGTATCACAATATGTATGTAACGTATATATAATTGTGTGTGCGTGTGTGTGTATATATATATATAATGTAAAAACAAACACGCATTCATGACACAAGAAGTCCTCCACCCAGAGCCACCCAAGGAACCACCAAAGATGGTTATATAATGGTTTCCCAATGTTCGTCTACAAGAGGGACCTTGTTGCTCTGGTCCTTGGACAAACATCTATACTATATACTGCACTTCGAGTCACCAACGTGGAAGTGGAAAACCACCTGTTTGTAGAGGGAACTGGTCATCCAAGGGGCCATTGTCCACTTCCATGATTGTTTCAGGGAGTGTATACCTTGAGTCTTAATGTACCCTTGTCAAAATATTGGAACGGATCTGAGACATGTTTGTTCAGTTTTTCTTGCCGACTTCGTTCATGTTGTAGAACACAACCTCAGCGCAGGTACAACTTCGGTTGTACCTCCATCATATGACACTTCATTGAACGAAATGCAGGTAATTATTGCACAGATGTTGTTGGTTTCACATCATTTGCATACAAGTCTATTGCTTTGTCTCACAACACTCCAAATCATCAGAATCACGGCATCACCTTGTCATAACAATTTGTAATTCAGCGGTGTGGGCCAACCTGAGAATTGCTAGGACAGCTGCAGCAACGCTCTTGGCGATTCGCGCAAAAACGGTGCGATGCGGGCAAGCCATTAAAGTGCATCAAATGAAGTTGGGAACCTGGGTGGATGGGGGCCTTGCGAGCCAAGCAGGCAGAGTGTGTTCTACTTTGCATGTTTTCTTTGCCTCCACGGCGTGTTCCAGCGTGCGAGGCCGAGCACTCCGGCGCTGGTTGGCAGGTTTCTGGAGATGTGCCACGGGCACCGATGCGGGGCGTGCGGCGAGTCATGGCCGAGGCAGAGATATCAGACTCGGACTCAGAGCCTTTGGTATTTTTTCATGTATTTTCAGACAGACTACTGGTTTCCTTGCGGAATTTTGGTTTGATATGGGGTTGGCCATGGTCAGCGGTGTAAAAGATGGTATTCGCACCAGATTCCTCAGTCTTAAGTTGACTCAAGCAAGCACGGTTCAATTCTAGAAGTTGTAAGGACAAAGAGGAGGGCTTTCCGGACTACTACAATGATGAAGAGCAAGAAAGTGATGATGAAAAGCAAGGCAAGAGATTCAGCCTGCAATTTGAGCGGGTGGTTCCAGATTCAGCCTACTCCGTGAGTGCGGAAGATGGTGTGCTGATGGATCCCACATCACCTGAAAGAACTGAGATAGAAGAGGCCTTTGCTGAACGCTGGTGGTCAGACTTGCGTCGCCGTTTCTTCAGGCACAATCATCGGGCCTACGCAATTGTGGACGGGCAGTGGCAACGGGTTCCAGATCCCAAAGGCCCACACTACAAGCCTCGCAAACGCTACCGCCCGCGTGCACACCAGCGAGAAGCTTTATTGAAGCGGAAGATGCGTGCAAGCGGACAAAGCACTGGCTAACAATTTGGAAGCCAGAAGCCGCAGCCACGTGCCTCTTCCCTCCGGATCCCGCCGGATTTGTGAAAAAGTCAGCCCAAACAGCCTGTTCAAGAGGGAACAATTGCCCAGCCGCCGTGTTTGTGCTAAAGCTAGTGGATCTCGTGTGATTGGCTTTTGCAGATGAGCTTTGAGCCTGCATTCTTGTTTATTGTAACCATGTTGCCCTGGAAAGTGTAACTTCAGCGCACACTCTGTTTGAATTCTGGATTGCATTGGGTCGAGGTGTTTCATGTCATTTCTGGAGCACACACACTCAAAAAAAACAATACTGTAAATCTATAACTATATCTCAGAGTGGACACTGCAATTGTACGCTGCAATGATGGCAAATACATGTGGGCAAGTTGTTTCAGCCTCAAACTTCTGGAAGTGGAAACTATTCTACAGGCTTCCAGGACGGTGTCAACTTCAGACACCGGCAATTGAGGGAGAGGTGATCCAAGAGAAATCAACAAATTGGGGTTTGGAGTTTGAATGGGCATATCCATAGTGTACAATTCATAATGCTATTCAGGATTTCGGCTGGCATCTAGTAACGTGTGAACTTGCTGTCACGGAAATGTCAACGTCAACAGCCTCCAGCCTTCAACAGCTGTCCCAGCCATGGTGTGCGATTCAATTTGGCCTTAAATGACAGTCTTGCTTTCGACGAACTTGAGAGCTCCTATATATAGAATAGAAGCCATCCACAGTGGGCTTCGCATCTTCCGCTGCAACGTGTGTCTTTTGCGTTTCCGCGCCGTGTTTCTTTGGTGGCTGATGCGGCCATCGCCATGTCGGAGCGCGACGCGGAGGAGCTGCTGTGGTCGTTGGGAGTCGGAGCTGCCCTGCCCCAATGGCTGAAAGACGCTTCTGCGCATCGTCCGTGTAGGCCTTTTCGAGGCGCAGCTTTGCACATCGTCCGCTTTCAAACAGCCTGGTCTTCTGAGGCTCCCAAGGATTGTCATCAGCTTCCATAGCTTGTACTCTGCATTCAGAACCTCTCCTTCCTTCCAAGAAGGAGCTTTGAGGTGTGGCACATTGTCAATCGCACATGATTGGAGGCCAAGAAGCTGTTCCTGCCATCCCAGTGGATGAAGATAGAACCCAGGCTCGTCCTGAAGCTGGTGTGACGCACAGCGTGTGACGCACAGCGCATGATGCACAGCGTGTGAGGCGCGGAGTGGCAGAAGAACTCACGACACTGACGACGGTTGGCAAGCCACAAGTCAAAAGAGAACTGCACATTTTATCTCAAGTGACTAAATAACAGGTTCATGACTGAAAGTTGGAAAGCGGAGGATTGCTGCTGGTAGCAAGGGAACTCAGAGTGGGCAGGCACTGGCGTGTCACGCAGACCTGCTAGACCCAGAAGCTCCAGGTAGCCCGGGTTTGGGAAGTTCGTTGTGGCCATGGATCCAGAGTGCGTCGATAGAACCACCTTCCCCGACATGCTTTCGGACATAGATGATAATAGAGAGAGAGGGAGAGAGTATCACCATGTTGTATCATCAATGTGATCTCCGACAATCAGAATTTCAAGCTCTCCATCCGTGGAGCGACACCGAAAAGCCCACGGGCACCAACAGATTGACGATCATCGAAGATCAATCCTAGGACCGCATGTCCGTCGCGAAACAGATTGACACGTCCTTTCGTGTCTTCATTGGTGGCTTCAACTGGGCCATGTGAGACCCAGTATGTAGTGCTCAAATGCCTCTTCCAGGTCAGGAAAAAGAGCGGGGAGGACAAGCCGATTGGTGGAGCCAAGCCTGGGAGATGATGTTTTTTCATCAAAGTTCCACACAGGAAGATGAACCAATCCCAAAACACGACCAGTGTCCTGGTTTGGGATCATACTCTCTCTTCTCCAGGATGAACACATAATAACTAATATCTAATAATAATAAATGTCAAAACATGTGCATATATGTACATGATTGCACATATTTTAAAACATATTACGAAAGCCAGCCGATAGGCTAGGCTTGAGCTCTTAGAGCGAACGAAGTGGAGTTAAGCGGGTGGATGGGGGGGGGAGGGCGCGGAAAGGCGCATTTTTGAGAGGGTGAACCCGGAGCTTGGTGGGGGAGAGCGCTCCAAAGCGAGAGTCAGAAAAGCAGTGAACATGGGGTTTGGTGATACGAGTGATGCAATGGACGCCGAGTAGTGCATCATTAGCATCATGAAGGGGTCTGGAGACAATTTTTCTAGTCCTGAGCAGAGCATAGGGACTGTGTAGCTCTGATCATACCAAGAAGGACCAAGCAACAAAGAGTGAACGCTCTGGGGGCGAACGATGTGAGTATGTCCAGTTGGGCGAGGTAGAGGCTTGGGGATAAGAGCGGAGAAGCAAGAAAGCTGCACGCGTTCAACACTTCATGCTGTGCTCCGATCTTGATCTCAGTCACAGTGATACCAGCTGCACGAAACTACCAGCTTTATCCAGCTTTCAACTATAGGTGCTCTGCGATTTTTTCCTCCCAGCCCTGCTCTCTGTAGGGCTTCACATTGATGCACGATACCCGAAACACATTTCAACACAACCACAAAAGCCACTTCGGGCATCATTCTCCTGGTGTTCACTGACGTTTATTTTTGCACGGATTCTCAAATAGAACACCAACAAGGGACGCTCCAGAAGGCGCCGCGCCAGGAAAATCGAGAAAACCTAAAACATTCAACACTTCATGCTGTGTTCCGATCTTGATCTACTCCACGTTGATACAAGCTCTACGAAAGCTACAGGCATTCAACAATAAGTCCTCCGCTTTTTTCCTCCCACTCTTGCACTACCATATTGGTCTCTCGCTGGCTTTCGTCCTCTCCTTTCTCAGGTTTGTGCAAGCCGTTAGAGTTTTGGATCTGACTATATAGATGGTCACATCAAGAAGGCACGGAGCTCCCAACCTCCTCAACCTAGTAGACCAAACAGTTTCATCATATTTGGATTCTGGGATTTAGGAGCTGTTTTTTGGACATAGACGCTGGCTCAAAGACAACTATATATTACCTAGTATTACATCTCATTGATCCAAACCTACAGAAACAGGCCTTAAAGCCAGTGGTTCCCTGGGTCGCGCCACATCCATTTATTTGCAGATTCAGATACAGCCCATCGGCCCTGTGGGCGGCCCCGATCTCTGATTTTCCCACCCAGATGGAAAGGAGGAGTTGGCGTTTTCGAAACCTCCATCAAGGAGGGGCATGTCACATGAGTCTGGCTATGTGTGGTGGTTGTTTTGCGCCAAAAGATGGTCTCGCACACTTGGGGTCATGTTTGAATAGGGACTCTTTCTGGAGCAAGGGGTTGTTCCCTACCACAGTGTCCGGATGGGGGTCTCCCTATTCTTACAGTCTACAAATTTGGATTTCTGGTGCCCAGCATGTTGGCCGTATGGCTGCAGTTGGATGTGGAATGTAGATTTGGTTGGTGCAAATGACCTGTCGGAGCGGGGCGTCAAGGAATTTTGCCGACGAGCAACTCGTGACGGGTGCGACGAAAGTAGGGAATGAGGGTGGCTGGATCCAAGGAAATATTTACTGGGGTATTATTAGCATATTGACTCATTCCCTACTAAGCACCAGTTTGTTGTTGATTATGTTCCAAGATTCTTATTTGTATTTATATTTGTTTCTCCTTGGAAATTCCTCAGGAAGATCAAGAAGCTTAGATCTACTGTACCAAAGCACCACTTTTCAGAATGCAGTAGCATTTATTGCGAAGAGTTGAGTGCAAAGCTATCACGTTTCACACTTGTTGGCAGTTCCTGTGTATCGAAGTTTGGAATGTGACAGGTCAATCAACACCATTTGGCACGACGTGCTCTTCTAGGATTCTATTCTGAATTCTATAGGGTATGAATAATACATCCCTAACTCCATACACGACTGCGGTAGATGTACAGAATTCTACGCAGGGCTGGCTTGAAAGCCTCGATGATGACGGATTCCTGGTCATGACCTTAGAGAAAGTAGTCCCTGCGCTGCTCGCTCTTCCTCACCATTTCAAATTATTGGCGCCAAGAGCAACATTCTTGACAAGGAGCAAGAATAGAGTCAGCCTAGATTTGAACTTTGTTTCTTGACCATTGCCGTTTTTTTGAGTGGAAGTTGAAGAGTGTTGAAGAGCTCGTCACGTATATAGTTGCAAAGTCTCCTTGCTCTTGGTTTCAGGTTCAGTACCATGAGAACCTCGCCACCAAACTCGATAGTGTGGTTCAGATCATAGATGTTTACGCCAAGGCGGGAGTGACGGGCCCAGGTCTCAGGAGAAACCACGTAACTCGTAGCATGGACTCTCATGTGATGGAAATGTGATCTTTATTTTCTTCTGACTTCTGTTTTTCTTTTTATCAGAACTCCTTGAGCTCACTCAGCGAAGCCTGGCAGCGTCCAGCAATTCTAAATGAGACATTCCTAGGAACTAGGCTGATGTGAGAGCTTCTGATAGCTAGAAATCCACGTTCACAAGAGAGGAACGTAAAAGAGGTTTTGACATACATAGAACACCAATGAACACCACATGTATAGCTCCGCACAAATCCGCACAAGCCCATTTCAACGCTCATGACAGCACACCAGCTTCCGCTTCCTTCCAGGATGGTGAAGTTGACCGGCAGTTCTTTAAAGATGCTGGAATCAAGAAGCTTGGCAAAGCTAGCTTGATTGAACACGTTTGAACCAGCTTTTTGGGTGAACTGAAACACTCGTGGCGCCGTTGTTCGTCGTTTAAACGACAAAAAACAGGGCTTTCCTAGTGGAAGCAGGCAGTCCAGGTGCGAAGCAGTCGATGGTGACGACTCCGGTGACGAATCCCATACCAGGCCATCAACGGCTCTTCGAGAAATGGTTCAGAGAGCCGTGTCCTGAGTAGCTGAGAGCCGTGTGCGGAGGTTTAATGCTTTTAAGATCTATATAATATTATATAATCAGAAGGTTGCCGCCTTACTCTTTTAGCAACAAAAGGTATATACATTTGCAATTGTATGCCTGGGTTTCAGAAACAGAAGAACGTGGTTCTTTTTCTTGAGGCATCAGGCCA